TTAGTCCCCAAATAAATTAATGTAGTAGGATAAAAACATTTGAGGTAGAAATCTGATGGCATCAGTTTCTTGAGTTGTGAAGTCTCAAGTTCAATTTTTGTTAAAATAATGAATGGACAAATAGAATAGCATTTTTTAAAAATTATGGCTTTACATAAACTTTTGTTGTTGTTGTTAATTGCGAAGTCGTGTCCGACCCATCGCGACCCCATGGACAACGTTCCTCCAGGTCTTCATGTCCTCTACCATTTTCTGGAGTCCATTTAAGTTCACACCTACTGCTTCAGTGATTCCATCCAGCCATCTCATTCTCTGTCGTCCCCTTCTTCTATTGCCCTCAATCTTTCCCAGCATTAGGCCCTTCTCCAGTGAGTCCTTCCTTCTCATTAGGTGGCCAAAGTATTTGAGTTTCAACTTCAGGATCTGGTCTTCTAAAGAGCAGTCAGGGTTGATCTCCTCTAGGACTGATCAGTTTGAACGCCTTGCAGTCCAAGGGACTCACAGGAGTCTTCTCCAGCACCATAATTCAAAGGCCTCAATTCTTTGGCGCTCAGCCTTTCTTATGGTCCAACTTTCACAGCCATACATTGCAACTGGGAAAACCATGGCCTGCACTATATGCACTTTTGTTGGCAGGGTGATGTCTCTGTTTTTTGGTATGCTGTCTAGATTTGCCATAGCTTTCCTTCCCTTAATTTCTTGGCTGCAGTCCCCATCTGAAGTGATCTTGGAGCCCAGAAAAATAAAATCTGTCACTACCTCCATTTCTTCCCCATCTATTTGCCAGGAACTGAGAGGGCCGGATGCCATGATTTTGGTTTTCTTAATGTTGAGTTTCAAGCAACTTTTGCACTCTCCTTCTTCACCCGCATCAAGAGGCTCTTTAGTTCCTCTTCACTTTCTGCCATTAGAGTGGTATCATCTGCATATCTTAGGTTGTTGATATTTCTCCTGGCAATCTTAATTCCAACTTTTGTTTCATCTAGCCCTGCCTTTCTCATGATGTGCTCTGCATATAGGTTAAATAGGCAGGGTGACAATATACAGCCTTGCCGGACTCCTTTTCCAATTTTGAACCAATCAGTGGTTCTGTGTCCAGTTCTCACTGTTGCTTCTTGACCCGCATATAAGTTTCTCAAGAGACAAAGAAGATAGTCTGGAATTCCCATCTCTTTAAGAACTTGCCACAATTTGTTGTGATCCACACAATCAAAGGCTTTAGCATAGTCAATGAAGCAGAAGTAGATGTTTTTCTGGAACTCCCTAGCTTTCTCCATGATCCAGCATATGTTGGCAATTTGATCTCTAGTTCCTCTGCCTCTTCGAAATCCTGCCTGTACTTCTGGTAGTTCTCGATCTACATACTGCTGGAATCTAGCTTGTAGGATTTTAAGCATAACTTTACTAGCATGTGAAATGAGTGAAATGGTGCGATAGTTTGAACATTCTTTGGCATTGCCTTTCTTTGGAATTGGGATGTAAACTGACCTTTTCCAATCCTGTGGCCACTGTTGAGTTTTCCAAATTTGCTGGCAAATTGAGTGTAGCACTTTTACTGCATCGTCTTTTAAGATTTTGAATAGCTCAGCTGGAATACTGTCACATCCACTAGCTTTGTTGTTGCTCAAATTTTCTAAGGCCCATTTCACTTCACATTCTAGGATGTCTGGTTCGAGGTCAGTGACCATTTCATTGTGGTTATCTGGGACATTAAGCTCATTCTTGTATAGTTCTTCTGTGTAGTTTTGCCATCTCTTCTGCCTCTGTTAGGTCCCTGCCATTTTGGTCCTTTATCATGCCCATCTTTGCATGAAACGTTCCCTTCATATCTCCAATTTTCTTGAAGAGATCTCTGGTCCTCCCTATTCTGTTGTTTTCTTCTATTTCTTTGCCCTGTTCATTTAAGAAGGCATTCTTATCTCTTCTAGCTACTCTCTGGAATTCTGCATTCAATTGGGTGTATCTTTCTCTTTCTCCTTTGCCTTTCGCTTCCCTTCTTTCCTCAGCTATTTGCAAAGCTTCCTCAGACAGCCATTTTGCTTTCTTGCATTTCTTTTTCTTTGGGAAAGAAATGCTACCTCTTGTACAATGTTGCGAACTTCCATCCATAGATCTTCAGGCACTCTGTCTATCAGATCTAATTCCTTAAATCTATTTATCACCTCTACTGTATATTCATCAGGAATATGATTTAGTTCATACCTGAGTGGCCTAGTGCTTTTCCCTACTTTTTTCAATTTAAGCCTAAATTTTGCACCGAGAAGCTCATGATCTCAGCCACAGTCAGCTCCTGGTCTTGTTTTTACTGACTGTATAGAGCTTCTCCATCTTTGGCTGCAGAGCATATAGTCAATCTGATTTCTATGTTGACCGTCTGGTGATGTCCATGTGTAGAGTCGTCTCTTGGGTTGTTGGAAAAGAGTGTTTGTTATGACCATCGTATTCTCTTGACAAAATTCTATTAGCCTGTGCCCTGCTTCATTTTGTACTCCAAGGCCAAACTTGCCTGTTATTCCGGTTATCTTTTGGCTTCCTACCTTAGCATTCCAATCCCCATGATGATAAGGACATCATTTTTTGGTGTTAATTCTATAAGGTGCTGTAGGGCTTCATAGAACCGGTCAATTTCATCCTCTTCAGCACCAGTGGTTGGGGCATAGATTTGGACTACTGTGATATTGAATGGTTTGCCTTGGATTCGACTTGAGATCATTCTGTCATTTTGGGGATTGTATCCCAGTATTGCTTTTCCTATTCTTTTATTGACTATGAAGGATACTCCATTTCTTCTGAGGGATTCTTGCACACAGTAGTATACCTGATGGTCATCTGAGTTAAATTCACCCATTCCTGTCCATTTTAGTTCGCTGATTCCTAAGATGTCGATGTTCAGTCTTGTCATCTCTTTTTTGACTACGTCTAGCTTGCCTTGATTCATGGATCTTACATTCCAGGTTCCTATGGAGAAAAAATCTTTACAGCATCGGACTTTCCTTTCACCACCAGATATATCCACAGCTGAGCGTCCTTTCGGCTTTGGCCCAGTCGCTTCATTCTTTCTGGCGCTACTAGTACTAGCCCTCTGTTCTTCCCCAGTAGCATATTGGACACCTTCCGACCTGAGGGGCTCATCTTCCAGCGTCATATCTTTTTGCCTTTTAGTATTGTCCATGGGGTTTTCATGGCAAAGATACTGGAGTGGTTTGCCATTTCCTTCTCCAGTGGATCACATTTTGTCAGAACCCTCTGCTATGATCTGTCCGTCTTGGGTGGCCCTGCACGGCATAGCTTATAGCTTCATTGAGTTACACAAGCCCCTTCACCACGACAAGGCAGTAATCCATAAAGGGGTTACATAAACTACAAGGTTTCAAACAAAGATTAGAACTGGAACATTAAACAGTGTCCAGTTGTGAAATGTGGGGCAATCTGCTCTATCATTTGAATTAATTGCTATCAGAATAAGAATACTAGCCTGGATTTGACCTTGATAAACATTACGGGGAGTAATTTGCATATTAAAAGGGATTTTTAGATAAATTGAAATAAACTATTTGTCAGGGGAGAAACAATTGTCTTATGGATTGACCAATTGATATAATCATAATCATATTCTAAGTTGTCAGTTATGGTTCAATTTGGTTATAAATGTCTCCTGCAAAAAACTGGAACATGACTCATAGGGTAAGAAAGTATATTGAGGTTCCCCATTTGTAGTTAGGAATATAAGCTTCCAGAAAAAACAGGCCTTTATAGATGCTGATTCCCAACAGAATAAACCTTACAATGCGGTGTGACTGACTGAGCTGGGGAACTGTAATGCCTTTTATACTCCTTTATGGAAACACCAGAAATGAGTTTTGACCTTGAATTACTTAAGCTAATGACCTTATGTGCCCATTTTACATAGTCTTGGTAAAAAATATTTTGAAAATATTTTAATGGTTTTTCATAAATGTTATTCCTTCAAATAGGAATACTCAGGATCACTGAGATTCAAATGACATTGATTGGTTCTATGTCACATCAGACTCCTTAATAATACTAGCTATTACTAATAGTAATTAGTGATATTCTTAACTCACCAAGGCTAATGAAAATATGAGGAAGATATCCAGAGCCAGGAATAAGTTTTGGTATTTCATATACCTTTAAGAACTCTACATTTCTTTGAATTAGACAAGCAGGAGCAAAACTTACAGCATATTAAAGCCTTCAAAAGATTTTGGATTCAGACCCATTCAGAGCCCAAATTAGCTTCTTAGAGCTTGAAACACCTATTCTTAGTTCATTGGAAATGTTCAACAAATTTCTGACCTTAATGAAAGTATTAGATCAAAATATTTCAAATTTGAAACATTTTCACACATTTCTATAACAGATATTATTTAAAGCATGGCCTTCATGAATGGTGAGAAAAGAATCAGCAGTTCTCAGGACAAAGTTATTAATTTTGTCAATAACCTACAACTATTTAGCTTCAACCACTCAGCTATGAAACACAGGGAAAGGTTGGAAGAAGGAGGAATACATTCAAACTGTTTTGGGTGTAAGAAAGAAATTGCACCCTCTCACTGACAGAGGTCAATCATCTGCTCAATGTAGTTTCTTCAAGTTTGGCAAATAAATTCTTATCTAGCCACACACTACACTATGAGTTTAGCAGTAAAGTTAAGCTGTGTAAAGTCAAGAGGCTGAAACTTATTGCTGAAACCTGGCACACGGAGCATAACATATCTCCCCCTCTCTCTTACACATATACAAATTCATAATCCATTTTAAATTATAAGGAAAACTTTTTCTCCTGTCTTAAATTATTTTAGATTATCGTGTAACAGTAGTCCAACACTGTATTCTTATGGCAAGGAAGATTTTCAGTCCCAGTACTGTCTTATGAAACAGATTTAAGACTTTGAAAAGTAATATTTATATATTTTATTATTTAGTTATTCTTGTTTTTATTAAAGAATGTTATAGTTTCTTACTATTTGTTTCTTTAGCAGTTTTAAAAAACATAGCCAGAATGAAGAGATGAAAACCAAGTTGCCTAATGCTATGGAGGCTGTTCAAAGTGAAGAAAGTAGCTTAACATGGGAGACCAATTCAAGTAGATGTTCCACATCCCATGCCTCAGAAGCCAGCATTACATCCGGGGTATACAGTATGGAAAACTCATATACAGATTGTTCTCCAGGGAAAGTTACTTTCCTGAAGGAAGAGAGAAAGACTATGCAGGAAAAACCGAGCAATTCAACCCATCAAATGTTAAATGAGAAGACAGAACCAGACAGCCAAGAATGTGATTTTCCTCAGATGTCACTGCTGAAAAAAACTGAAGAAAGAGAATTTGATCCATCTGATCCACAAGCATGGCCGGCTCAAGTACAACCTTCTAAGATTAAAGACTATTTGGTTCAAATCACACAGGAAGTAGTGACTTCTGGGTCAGAGGAGAAAGAAAATACTCTGATGAAAAAAGGGGAACTGCCCCTCAAAGGAACAGTAAGAGCCAGGATTCTTCAAATCACTGCTGTATTGGAAGAGAGACATAAAAAGGTTTTCCGAAGGATAAACAATAAAGATATGCCTCCACCCTCAGAGATCACCAGGAAGCCAAGAGAACCACCCAAAATCTTCTCCAGACAAGGCATATCTTTAAGGCACATTGAACAAAACACTGCAGAGAAGAATAACAGGAAGGAAGTTCTGAGTTATAATCTCAGACATGTAGAGACAAAAAGTTCAAAGTCTGCACTTTACAGTAAAGAGGAAAAGAAACCACAGCATTTTTTTCTCCCTAAAATACAAAAGCCTTCAGAAAAGCTACCAAAAAAATCAGCATACCTTAGTGATAAAGCAAAGAAGCCAGCCACCAAACAATATTCACCTGAAATTCATACCTCACTTCCAGAACTGATTCAACCAGCTGAGTCTGACAAAATGGAAAAAAAAGAAAAACAGTCTCTTTCTCCAAATACTTCAAATACTGCACTGGAAGAATCATTTAACTTTGTTGGTGAAAAGAAGGAAATTCAGGATCATATACCAATGACCTTGGAATTTTATGATTTATTAAAAGAAGTGAGGTCACCATCAGAGAATCAAGTAACTCAGCCTTGTTCCCCAGTTCCTGTGGAACTACTTCCTTATGTTGAAACAGAAACAGAAAATCAATCTGACTCAGTGGGAAGAATGTTATCAGAAACTTCAATTCAACATGTAGAGCACCCTCATAATATTATAGCTACTCACTGTGAACCTGTAAGTTGTAACTTAACTGAAGTTAGAACTCAATTTATGGAATCTACAATTCCTTCAAGACTGGAGGTCAAAGGCACATCCTTAGGGCAATCTGTTGAAGAAGACAAGCAAGAGGTTTTTCTTCATTCAACTGTAACCCCAGATACTAACCTTGAGAAGGCAGAATTACCCTCATTTGTCAGAAAAACAGAAAAGCAAGAAAAAGAACAATTATCAGAGAAATCTTCAGACAAAGAAAGAATGCAGGAACAATTTACTGTGCTTTTACAGATAAAATCAGGCCAGCCATCCTTGTCTTTGGTTCAGGAGTCAGAAGCTCAAGAAACTGAATCTGCATCAGATTTAACAGTTATGAATGCTGAACCTGAAGTGACCGATTTAGCTGAAATTAGAAATCAAACTATGGACTCCACAATTCCTTCAGGAATGGAAGTCAATGGCACATCCTTGGAGTTTTCAGTTGAAGAAACAGAGAAACAAGAGGTTCCTCTTTATTCAACCGAAACCAAAGACACCATCCCTGAAAAGGCAAGATTACTATCTTCTGTTAAAGAAGGAGAAAAGCAAGAAGAAGAACAGCTGGCAGGGCAATATTCAGAAAAAGAGCAGTTAGAGGACAAAATAACTACACCTTTTGAAACAAAATCAGACCGGCTATCTTTGTTTGGTTGTCAAGACCCCAGGTCTGAAGCTCATGAAACTGAGCCTGCATCTCATTTAGCAGCAAGGCATGGTGAATCTGAAACATCTGATTTAGCTGAAGTTAGAAATCAAGGTATGGACTCTGCAGTTCCTTCAGAAATGGAAGTCAGTGGTACACCCTTACAGCATTCAGTTGAAGAAGCAGAGAAGGAAGCAATTACTCTTTTTTCAACTGAAACCAAAGATGAAATGGCAAGATTACCATCTTCTGTTAAAGAAAGAGAAAACCAAAAAGAACAGCTGGCAGGACAATATTCAGAAAAAGAAAGGTTACAGGACAAATTAACTACACCTTTTGAAACAAAGTCAGACCAGCTACCTTTGTTTAGTTATCATGACCATAAATCCAAAGATCATGAAACTGAACCTATATCTGATTTAGCAGCTATATGTGGTGAGCCTGAAGTGTCAGACATATTTGAAATTATAAATCAAGCTATAGAATTCAAAATTTCTTCACAAATGGAAGTTGAAGGTGTGCCCTTGGAACGTTCTGCTGAAGAAGCCAAGAAGCAAGAAGTTCCTCCTTATTCAACTGAAACCAAACATGCCATCTCTGAAAAGGCAAGATTACCATCTTCTGTTAAAGAAGGAGAAAAACAAGAAGAAGAACAGCTGGCAGGGCAATATTCAGAAAAAGAAAGGTTACAGAACAAATTAACCACACCTTTTGAAACAAAGTCAGACCAGCTACCTTTCTTTGATTGTCAAGGTCACAAGTCTGAAGCTCATGAAATTGAACCTGCATCTCATTTAGCAGCAAGGCACAGTGAACCTAAAGTATCTGACTTAACTGAAATTAGAAATCAAACTATGGAATCCACAATTCCTCCTCAAATGGAAGTCAAAGATGCGCCCTTAGAGCATTCTTTTGGAGCAGAGGTTTCTTTTTATTCAACTGAAACCAAAAGTGCCATCCCTGAAAAATCAAAATCACCATCTTCTGTCAAAGAAGCAGAAAATGAAGAAAAAGAACAGCTGGCAGAGGAATATAAAGAAAAGAAACAGTTACAGAATAAATTAACTACACCTTTTGAAAGGAAATCAGAACACAAATCCAAAGTTCATGAATCTGAACCCACATTTGATTTAGCAACTATGCAAGGTGAACCTGAAGTGTGTGATTTAGCTGAAATTAGAAATCAAGCTATGGAATCTACAATTCCTCTTCAAATGGAAGTCAAAGATGCACCCTTAGAGCATTCTTTTGGAGCAGAGGTTTCTTTTTATTCAACTGAAACCAAAAGTGCCATCCCTGAAAAATCAAAATTACCATCTTCTGTCAAAGAAGCAGAAAATGAAGAAAAAGAACAGCTGGCAGAGGAATATAAAGAAAAGAAACAGTTACAGAATAAATTAACTACACCTTTTGAAAGGAAATCAGAACACAAATCCAAAGTTCATGAATCTGAACCCACATTTGATTTAGCAGCTATGCATGGTGAACCTGAAGTGTGTGATTTAGCTGAAATTAGAAATCAAACTATGGAATCTACAATTCCTTCAGAAATGGAAGTCAGGGGTACACCCTTGGAGCATTCTGTTGGAGAAACGGAAAGGCAAACAGTCCCTCTTTATTTAACTGAAACCAAAGAGGCCATCCCTGAAAAGGCAAGATTTCCATATACTATCAGAGAAGGAGAAAAGCAAGAAATAGAACAGTTGTCAGAGGACTCTTCAAACAAAACAAGGGTGGAGGATCAATTCCAAAGAAAGTCAGGCTATCTTCCCTTGGTCCACAAATCAGAATGTGAAGAAGCTGAACTTGCACCTGATGTAGTTTCCACAACACAGGAAATCTGTAATACTATTGAAGAACCCACTGGACTTTCAGAGTCTTCTTATACTATGGTTAAAGAAGAAGCCACAAAAGAAGAAAAAATAAAATCTGACTTGCCAAGGCAAGCTGCTCAGACTCGGCCATCTCTGACCACTGTCTCAGAAGGAAACCATGTAAGAGATAAAACAGAGACTCAACTTGCCTCAGCAGAATCTTTGTGTCCAGATTCCACACTCTCAGTTTCAAACACACAGGAGGAAATGGCTCAACAACATTCTATAACACCAGCACACTCAGAATCAGAACATCTTGTTATCTCCAAATCCATAAAGGCACCACATGGACCTGAAGAGATATCAATTCTCAGTGACAAAGTTATTGAACCTCTCAGCTCATCGGAACAGTTGCTATCTACTTCATCTTTTCTCACTGCCAATGTGGAAATGCATGGAACACAGCCACCCTCATTAAAGATTACTGCATCATTGTTTGAACAGCCAAACTCTAATATATTCTGCCTGCCTCAGCAAATGAAAAAACAAAGCAATTGGTCTGATTCCACTGAATTAACTCCTTTGATAGCAGAAGCACAATTTTCTATTGGGTCTTTCCAAAATGCTGAAACAACAAAAGAAGAAAATCTGTCCTTGTCATCCACAGAGGTTCTAGCAAAAGAATTAGTATCTAAATCAAGGGAGCCAGAAATTGGCATAGGTACAAAAACAGGGCAACTTTTCCCAACTGTATCTGCACAGCACCCAGGTAAAGCACCTGTTCAAATGCAAGAATTGAATTTAGAAAATCAGCTGCAATCCACTATAAAAGTACAATCAGATTTTGAGAAACAAGATAAATACTCTTGTGAAATAAGTGAAGATCAATTGAAACAATCATTGGAATCTGAATCAAGACAGCATTTTATACAGCAGAATTCTACTGTTTCATCCCAGCTGGAAGGAACAACTGCTTTGCATTCTATCAATGAAATGCATAAGGAAATTATGCAACCCGATAAACCTATCATCAAGCCATTGCAACCTGATTCATTATATCCTGGTTTTGAGCCATCACAGACAGATGCTGTTCAGCAGCAAACTCTTCAGCATTTATCACAAACACTTCTACCCATTGAAGTGGATACAGTGCAGATAGGAAAGGAAAAGGAGATAAATGGGATCCAGCCTCCTTTGCCCACAACTAGGCAGGATTTATCTCAGTCAGTTTATTCAATGGATTTGCAAGAAAATCAAGATATTTCAGGAACTGCAGCCAAAGATTCTGAATTTTTAAGCATGCAACTCAATAAGGTTGATGCAGAGCACTATGGCACTGCTGGTCCAGAATCAAAGCACCTGGCAAAATATGCTGTTGAACCTATAACTGCACAGTTGGAGACTTCTTCCACAAATGAGATGCACTTCATGTCTGAATTGGGAAAACATTTAGATGCATCCTTTCCCATTTCAAGCACAGAAGGAGAAGGCCTTCAAATGCCTATATTTGTGACAGCAGAATCAGAAGATGAACAGCCAATATCAATTAAAAAAGTGAGGGAAGAAACTAAATGTAATGCACCCATAATTCCAACATCCAAATTAAAAGGTTCTGCTTCAGAAACACAGGGAAATCAAAATGATTTGTCTGAGACATTAAATGAGGCATCTGAATCACCACCATTAATTTTATCATTTGTCCCTGATAAAATAAAGCCCCAGGCAATACTTATGGAGGCCAGAGTAAGTTCACTACCAGCCTCACAGCAATCAAATTCTATTTCTTCAGAACATATTGACAGAATTGAGATAGGAAAAAATAATTTCCCTTTCCCTGAGTCTCAAGATATATTGTTAGATTTACCATTCCTTACAACTTCCTCTTTAGAGGAGGTCAGCAAAGAACCACTGCATTCATCCATGACCACAAAAACTGTGTCCGAGGAATCCAAATCTGAAGCTACATCTGAAGAAAAAAACAAACAGTCTCCTATTTCTGCAGCATTGTCTGCAGAACATGTTTTTATTGAACATATTTCATCTTGTGCTGCTTCTGAAAAAGAGAAACAAGTGCAGTCTCATTCAATTTTCAATGAAGAACCAATGGATGTGGCTGCTAGGAAAGCAAATATGGAGGATACTCGGTCTCATTTGCTTGTTACTCCATATTCTGAAACCAGGAGCCAGGATAGCAAACTATATAGCCCAGTGGCATTGCAATCAGAGCAGGAAAGTCTCACTTTATTGAATTCCACTGAAGAAAAACCCAAACAAGAAACCCTTTTATATTCATCTTCCACCATACCTCAAGAAATATTATATTACCAGGAAGAAAAAGAAGACCAAAAACCAAGTTCTCAGACTGAATGTTCAAAAGACCAGGATGCTCCATTAAAAGATGACAACTTGTTGCAATCAGTAAAAGAATCAGAGTTGGAAGAAATTCAGCTTTATTGTTCTGCAAATGTTCAAGATTCATTCCATTTGGCTGATATGAATCTCCAAGAACAAGAGGATCATCTGCCTAAAACTGGAGAGGTAGATTTTGGTGTTCCTGTATTATCACAGTTGATGGATGATGCAGAAAAACAAGAAATGCAGATAACATGGTCTGAAGCTGCTCAGATGGAAGATAAACCATTTGTTTTGTCAGAAAATGAAATGAAACCCAACAGGTATCCATCATTCACTGCATCCCTAGATACAAAACAGTTAGATTTATCTTATTCAAAACAACCAGAACCATATTCATTTGAGGGACAAAATCAGACTTCTGAACAAGAACCACTCATTTCATCTCTTTTCACTAAGAAAGTGAAAGAGCTAGAAGAGAATTCATATCCATCTTTTGTCTTAACATCTTTGTTGAGCCCATCCAACTCTGTTACATTGGATCCAGAAAGGAAACAAGAAAAGCAGCCTTGTACAACTGTAATAGCAAAGGAGATGCCAGAAGAACCCATGTCCATTGCTTCATTCCTTCTTTCTGAGGCAAAGACAATAGAAATGTTTTCCCCCCAGATCTCAGAAAAAGAGAATTTAGATACTCAAGCTCCTTTTGGGGATACTGACTCAATAAATGGTTCAACTGTCCTTCCTGAGAAAAATGCAGTGGCAGAGAAGAAAACTGAGTTTTCTCCAACACAATTTGAATCAGAACCCCAGGTAGACAAAATCATTAGTACAGAACATATTTCAAAAGCAGAAGAAACAAAACATTTGCCTACCATGGAGGATACTTTGAAAGTGCTTGAAAACTATTTGAGTAAAGAGAAGGAATTCAAAGATCAAGAGAAATTGAGAGAAGAAGCCATACCAGCTCCTGATCTTGATCTAAGAAAAGACATAGTTAATATTTCTGAAAGTTGTGAAGTTGTGAAAACTAATGTTCCTCTCATTTCCTCTGTTGATAGAAAAAAGATTATACTAGAGGCAGTAGAAACCATTTCATTGTTGGAAACAAAAGCATGTAATAATACTAGAAATGTAGTTGTTGATAAGGAACCTTCAGTTGACAAACCAAATAAACAATGTACAGAGGACTTAAAGGTAGATCACCCTGAAATGACAGCAAATGAATCAAAGGAACTTGAAAAAGAGAAAGGTATTAAGGAAAGCACAGAAATCAAAAAGATTTCTGTTATTCCAGAAAACAAGAATGATAATATTTTTAATCATGCCAATATTGATTATGTTGAAAAGGAAACTTTGATTGAAAATACATCCTTCACCCAAACAGAAAAAGAAAAGTCTATTCAGGACACAGAGAGACCATTTGATAATATAGATAAACAATATGTGGAAGCGACATATCCAGTAGCAAAATCAAAGAATATTTTGGAGTTGTCTTTATTAGAAAGAGAATTGAATGAAGCCTCTAATGGAATGATAGAAAAACAAAATGCAACAGCTACCTATCAAGACACTTCAAAAACAGCAAATGAAATTAAAATGATTGAAGCTGTTGGGGATGATGATAACTTAGCAAACACTAAGGCAGTCTTATTTAATACTGAGAAAGATGAATTGTCTCAGTCTCCAACTGCTTCCTTGCCAATGACTGTAGTAGACTCTGAGGTTCTAGAGATGCCACCTGCCTTGGCATTTTTATGTAGAGATTTCTATGAAGAAGCAGTGGATGATTCTAAAAAAAGTAGTCACAAATGTAAAGAAGTGAAGGATATTGATCTGCCTTTTCATATCAGAGATCATATTCCAGATGATGGGATTGAAATGCATCTGGAGAAGGAAATTCTTAGAGATTACACTCCAAATAATGTGGAAGAATCCAAGAATGAAGACATTTTAGATGGTCAATCTTTTAAAGAGGAAACTTTAACCCAACCAAAAGTCACAGAAGATGCTTACGAACCAAATGCAAAAAAGAATGAGTCTGCAGATATTCATCCTGATCTATCTGGCCAAGTGGAGGAATGTCTGAATGATACACTTACATATGGGGTAACTGAGATTGTGAGTGACATAAAAATTAGGATTTGTCAGCCAACACATGCAATTCCTTTTGGAAGAGACTTCTATAGCTCAGGAGCCAACAATGATGACAGTAGTCAGAGAAATGAAGAAGAATCCTTACCTGATGACCCAGGTCAGCTGGTACCAGAAGAAACAAGTGATGAAGAGTCCAGTCCAATACTTGATTATGCAGCAACTGTATATCAGACTGAATCATCTGGGCAAGATGGATCAAAGAATGATGCTGGACATGCAATCATTCAAAACCAACAGTCTGAAATAAGAGAAGTTCCTGGAATGGATGAAGATGTAGTTGTAAAGACTGCCAAAAAAATGGCACAATCTCATGAAGGATTAGGTCAGGCTGAGAAGCAAGGTGAAAGTCAACTAGAAGATACGTATGTTTTAGCTGAGTCCCCAATACAAGATACATATGTTTTAGATCACAAAGATCTTCCATGTTGGGACATTGAAGTGCAAAAATCTGAGAGCAGAACTGGAGAAAATAGTGGCCAGCATCTAATGCAGAATGACACAGCAGACCAGTTAGCAGCAGAAGTAAAATCTGATAACCAATTTGAGGAAGTTGACTATTCTCTCTTGTCGCATGATTTTGATACCTACCCATTATACTCAATAAAAGAGGAAGAGGACAGTGACATTGAAGAAGATCTAGCTGAGCTCTTGAACTATGAAATGGTTACCCACGAGGATGTCTTTCAGGAAGAAATCTCTTCAGAAATAGCTCGTGAAGAACTGCTTTTTGATGATAAAGAATCCCTAGATGGCATTAGTGATACTTATGAATTTGTGAATGAAGGAGAGGCAAGAATGTATGCTGAAGAAAAGTCAGCTGAATTGCTTGATCTTGAAATGCTACAAAGAAATGTACCAGAATATGAATTTCTACAGAAAGAAGTTGATCAAGCACATTTGGATACATACTGCTACCAGTGCAAATGTCCCATCTCCTCTGAGGATAAGCTTTTTGAGGAGCATAAAGACCATAATGTAGACGATTTGGGTACAGCTGTGACTGTGTTAAAGGTAAGACAATAAAAATATGCAGTTATACTGCTCTTTGTTCTCACTGACATACATTAGTGTTTAAAATAGATAAAAGCAGCAATAAATATCTAGTGCCCTCTAGATGTTTTGACCTTTAATGCCTGTTGGCTCTAGGCAATATGGCCACTGGCAATGTATTGAGGTAGAGAACATTTGAGGGCATCAACATTTCTGCAAGATGAAGAAAGTAAAACTTATCAGTAATAAAAGACAAGCTTTTATGCTTAATATGATGCATAGTTGGCTTGCAGGAATAACAATTCTTCTTAAAATGGCTCAGAAGCAAGGGATGTATTTCCATAGTTGTTATTTTTCCCACAGAAACTGAGGTTCTGTCTCTTTTTTTCTTGAGAAATGAAGACAGGTAAAGAATATGTAGTAATGGGAAACACTACATTTCCCAAAATTAGAACCGCACTGTGATATTTTTTTTTATAAAATCAGAAAATCTCAGAATCTGATCTTAAGCGTTCTAGGTAATTTCTGCTGTGATTCTTAGTTTAGAATGTTGTTTTCCCAGTTGTTTAACTGTTGATCAACATTTTTCAACCCTTCTCTGAACCTTTTAAACCTGGTTTATTTTGGATGGACTACCATGTGCAATAGTAATCCATCCCAAATAAACCAGGTTTAAAAGGTTCAGAGAAGGGTTGAAAAATGTTGATCAACAGTTAAACAACTGGGAAAGCAACATTCTAAACTAAGAATCAAGAAATGGATGGAGAAGATCTTGAAAACCAAGTGCCTTGCCTTGTGCACTTGTCCATGTTTTCTGTTAATGTAAACGCATCCTTTGATACAATCCCAGATGGTAAGATGCTGACCATATTTATTTTTAGAAGGGTGATAACATAATTACAGAAAGTTTCACCCAAAGGTTTGCTATACTTCTATAATTCAGTCAAAAACAAGATGATAGAGCAAACAAAAATCATAGCAATTTTTCATAGTAAAGGATTTTAAAGATCTTTGAGCAGTAAAGCAAGGTTTTCAACACTGAAGTATGATTACACAGAAAAACTGTTTTGGCCTGACTGTTGAAATAAATATTGTGAGTTCTTCTCTTGATGAGTCTTATAATAACAGGAGAAGGAAAGCTCTTTTTCTAAAGGGTCCTCATCTGTAGAATGTGGTCCATAAGGAAACCTTTATGGCATCTTCACTTCATCAGTTCAGGTGCTAAAGTATGACACACTCCCTGCCCTTTTCTAGACAAAGCATTATGAGTTTGTTCATAAATTTTCTGTGGATGTTTGGTATGTATTGTCCATCCATCCATTCATCCATCCATCATTTTGATATCTGTAAACTTCCCCAGTATTTTCAACTTGGACATTAAATACCATAATATAATGTAATACAGTACAATGTAGTATAATATAGCATAATGTAATGAAATATGAAAAGTAGTATGAAAAGAGGATTCTAGAAGTCCCAATCAGATCACAGGTAGATACTATGTGCAGCATATAATCTTAGATTTCAGATATATTCAGATTTTATTGCAGAGATATAGTCTGGCCCTTCTCTTGAATGTTGTTAAGCCTTCCTTCCTTCCTTCCTTCCTTCCTTCCTTCCTTCCTTCCTTCCTTCCTTCCTTCCTTCCTTCCTTCCTTCCTCACTCAGGTGTTTATGTTTTTTGTTTAATGTAGTAATTTTGAAATAAAGCCACCTGAGAAAATAAACTTTCTGATTGGCTTGCAATATACTTTAAAACAGTTAGAAGCATAATGCAGCACACCACCAGCAGAAGAACAAAGTCCACATAAAGAGCAAAAGCTTGGATATTTTCGATTATTTATCTTAGTGCCCACTCCTGACTTAAAAACTATTTTAAGAGCTTAGTGAACTCCTTTAAGAGCTGAAATATGAATGGAGTTTTTTTAGCTGACACTGTGCTCTACACCCAACTGTTTCACCTTCCTTTCCATGCCCTTTTACTTTGGCAAAGAACATGTTAATCTGATGGAACACATTCATATTCATTGCAAAGTTCTCCTTGTTTTTGTTTTTTATTAGATATTTGCTGCTGTCCTATATAATAGTCTTCCAAATTTGATGCCCCCAGCAGATATCATTCCAAATTATAGGATGTTGGCTAGAATTATGGGAGTTGTACTCCAGCTCATATAAAAGGACCTAGCTTGGGGCAAGGTAGATTTTCCATATTACTGTGGTGGACAATAAGTAGTTGCTAAGAATATCAGCAGAGGCATAGGCCTTGTAATTGTCCCTAAACTGGTTTCTTGAAAGTCGAAGGACCCAAGGACATTCTGTGACATTTGTCTTTGACCCTGCAATTTAGAAAGAGAGCCAGAAATGAATTCTAGCTCTGTAATAAATTATCCTCCACAGATATAGCTCCACCAGGCAGAAAGATCATTTAGATGGCATTTCTGCTTCATTTCTACTATGTATTCACATGTGATCTTACCCTTCTGTAAAAAATGTGCAGGTAACTGAAACTAACCATTTCAGCTTTTGTCAATTACAGAGTTAAAAATAAGCTGCTGAGAGTGTATAAGAGATTTTTTTAAGTCAAGATGGTGGCTAGGACCACATATTCAAAATCCTACCTCCCAATGTGCCACTTTGACAGCCTGCAATCTAAAGGAACCACATACAGTACAATGTTCTGCCCCTTTTTCCTTCAATAGCAGGGGTTCCCAACCAGAACTGTTCACACCCCCTAGGGGTGCGAGACAATATTCCAGGAGGTACGAAAACTTGAGTTTTCAAAATTATAATGTATATGCATAATTCATTGCCATTATTTTGAACTTTTGTAAGGGGTGCAAGAATATATCAAAAGCATTCTAGGGGTGCGGGGTATAGAAAGGATGGGAGCCACTGTTCTATAGCCTCAACTTAACCTGTGTTTTAATATAATGTACCAACTTCAAGACATGTGGACTTCAACACCCATGGATGATTGGGGACTTCTGGAGTTGAAGTCCATGCATCTTAAAATTGTTAAGGTTGGAAAATCCTGATATATAGAATCTCCCAGAAAACCATCTGATGAAACTAGAATGAAAATGCTATCTCAAACTAGTAAACACACAAAGACTTTCCAAATAAAGGCACAATCCAGGAAGTGTAACAAGATGAGCAACCTAACGATCACATAATGTTATAACTGGGACCTTGCAACTGAGTCCAATTTGATCGATTCCTGTAGCAATAGTGTTGTCTATGAATGCAGAAGGGCTATTTTAAGGAAGTGAATGCCTCTCAGAGTCACCTTGAACTCTGCGAGATGGGTGACAAATAAATTTAATAATAAAGAAAATGTAGACAAGTGCTTAAGAGGGCATCCTGTATTCTCACTTGGAGTGGGGTAGGGATCTTTGGTTCACCTGCCTTCAGCTGTAGTGGTACTGTCACATGCTGGCTGAGGAATTCTGAAAGTCCATACATCTTAAAGTTGCTCTGGTTGAGGAACACCAGCTTAATAGCATTAGGAATTTATGTCCATAGAAATTTGTCAAAACAATGCAAACAGAAACAAGAGATATATTAGTTGTTTATTTCCATTTAATTTTGTGAAGAGGGCAAAGGATTTTCATTTAAACACAGAACTCAGAGGGAAGATCTGATCAATTACTGGCTGACAAGCACTAGTGATTTGACAATGCTTTGTTCTCAGCTAATGGCTGCTGGTTCATTGTGAGGTCTAAAGCCTTGTAAACTTGTAAACATCCTGTGCTCAGAGTAATCCTAATGTCCAAATAGATCCACAAACTGTCAAAACAGCCTAGATCAATCTCTGGTGCATTTAAAACCTGGCTGCCTGGAAAACTCTGGGCAATTGTTGGAAGTCGGATACTTTATGGGTTTGAAGGATTTGGCCCTGGGGTTTCAATACATACATTTCCTATTTAATTGGTTCTATATAATTAAATGTACCCATTACAAAACTAGGGGTTTTCTGAGGCATTAATTTAAAATTAATAATATTTTTGAAAAAGAAGCAGCAGTACTATTTGAAGACACAAAAGCTGGAAAAAAAAGGCTTAAAAGATGAAAGCTTGAAGGAAAGAAGGAAGGAAGGAAGGAAGGAAGGAAGGAAGGAAGGAAGGAAGGAAGGAAGGAAGGAAGGAAGGAAGGAAGGAAGGAAGGAAAAGCACACCTTTTATTTCTATTTTAATGGAGCTTATTGCCAAACACATTTGTTGAGTCCTTGGTGGGAAGCAGACACGAGAAGCAGTTGAAGTTCTCAGTTTCCTTTATTCAGCATTCAGCTTACAAGTAGATGGCTTCTGCAGCTCCCAAAACCTCCCAGCTTCTTATATAGACGCTTCCCGGGTAAATGTGATACTTTTCCCGCGCCAGCACCCGCGCATGCGCACGGCGCTGGCGACAGCCTGTCTGGTCCCGGGCAGCTTTGCACCTGCCCGGGACTGCCTGCAAACGCCCGAGCCGTTTGCAAGGCTCGGGACATAACACCCCTTTCCCCCGGGCTAAAACTACTACCAACATATAATCATTTATTTTATGCAGTGTTCTGCTTCTCAGTGCTCCTATCGTTACCTGGCTTTTGTTTAGCCATCAATGTTATGTAATCCTCTAAGTATTTAGGAGACTTCTTTGCTCTCTGTGACCTTCTCAGCTCTGGGTTACTAGCATGAGTTCCCTGACTGGAGGGAGATGTGAGCCTGTTCTCCTTATTTTGCCTTGGTGCCTTCCAAGGACTGTGCCCCGCTGCCTGGCCTGCTTGCTTGCCCACCGGGCTCGTCAGGCCAGGGCTTCTGTCACTTTGTGACCTGGTTGACCTGCCTAGCTGTAGACCCTCGGGCCCCTTGAAGTGATAGCCACTGCTGGGCGTCTCTGTTGAACCTCCTAGGTCCGTCCAAGACCTGTCAGGAGGCTGACCAGTCCCTGAACCCCGTTCTGTGTCCGGGCTTGTGTGGGTTCCTGTACTTTCCCAAAACTCAGTTACTCCCTGATTTGGGCTAGAGGTGTTGTAGTCGGGACTTGGTTCCTCGACCACCTCCCTGTATGTTTGACCCCCTGTAGAATTTGGGGTAAGGTCAGGCCAACCTTGGGGATTGTGTGCCAGCTCTCTTGCGGGGAATGATTTGTTGGGATGCCCCCGGGTATCCTCCGTGACTGGAGTGCTGTGTGATGTGTGTGGAAAGTGAGTATGCCCCCGGGGTGACTCCCTGGCTGGAGTAGGCGTGGATGCCTGGTAGTTAGGTAGGCTCATAGAATTCTTGTTCGGAGCTCTCGCGGAACCCTGGGATGGGCCGTTTGTGGCTCCATCAGTGGAGATGGGCAGCAGCTCGTGCCCTTCCCTTTGCTCCAAAGGGTCCCCCTCCCCCCCTGGAAAAGACCCAGGAGTCTCATCTGAAAAGTCCCGCCTAGGGCGGAGTTGGTCGATGTGCCGACGCAGGACACGACCGTTGTCCAGGGCAACCTCGTAGGAGAGAGGACCTGTGACCCTGGAAATAGAAGCGGGGACCCAGGTATGACCAGGCCCGTAATTGCGAGCCCAAACCGGGGCACCCTCAAGTAGTTGTCTAGGTGCCCTAGGATGTGAGGTAGATGAAGGCAGTCTGTCCGGATGCAACCGGTCAAGTTTAGTAGTAAGTTGACGCCCCCAGCGAAGTTCAGCTGGGCTTCTCCCTGTAGAAGTGGACGGTGTGGTGCGATAAGAAAGGAGAAAGTCAGCCAACCTGTGATGCCAGTCCCCGTAGGTGAGTCTTTTCAAGGCGTCCTTTGTGATGCGCACCATACGTTCAGCCATACCGTTGGTGGACGGGTGGAAGGGTGCAGACGTGGCATGACGAATCATGTTAGCCTGTAAGAAAGCTTGGAATTCGGAGGAAGTGAATTGAGGGCCGTTGTCAGACACGATGACATCTGGAAGCCCGTGTGCAGCAAAAATCCCCCTCAGTACCTGAATAGTCTTTGCAGTGGTGGTGGAAGAGACAGGTACAACCTCAAGCCATTTTGAATGGCTGTCAACAAGGACCAAGAAGAACTGGCCCTGAAAGGGCCCAGCGTAGTCAATGTGCACCCTAGACCATGGGGACTGCGTTTCCTCCCATTTATGCACTGGAGCTTGGGGCATCTCTGGGCGAGATCGTTGGCACAGGTGGCATGCATGCACCTTAGCCTCAATATCCTTATCTAAAGCAGGCCACCACAAGTGGCTGCGTGCAAGAGCCTTCATACGAACAATGCCAGGATGACCCTCGTGGAGGGATTCTAAGACCCTAGTCCTCATTGAGGTGGGAATGACAACTCTGTTTCCCCAAAGCAGACAACCCTGAGAAAGGGACAACTCGTTTCTTTTGGACCAGAAACTCTGAAACTCAGGACTAGGGCAGTGCTCAGGCCAACCGGACAAAACCCAGGAACGGACACGTGAAAGTGTGTGATCTGTACCTGTTTCAGCGGCAACATCCCTGGCACAAAGAGGGAGCTTGGGCAAGGCTTGGATTGATAGAATGTTGACAGCTGGCGCAGGGTCAGCTTCTACTACTGGCAGAGGCAATCTACTGAGGCCATCAGCATGGCCCATTTCTTTCCCAGGCTTGTGGAGTAAAGAAAAATCATATGCAGACAGAAAAATAGACCACCTAAGCATTCTAGGGGAAATGATTTGGGGAGTCTGCTTACGTGTGGTAAACAGTCCCAGCAGAGGCTTATGGTCAGTAAAGACCGTGAAATGCCTGCCATATAGAAAATCGTGGAATTTTTTAATTCCAGCAACAACAGCTAGAGCCTCCCTGTCTATCTGAGCGTAGTTGCGCTCAGCAGGAGACAATGTTCTGGAGTAATATGCAACAGGAACCTGAGTTCCGTCAGACCTGAGGTGGCTCAGGACAGCTCCTACCCCGTAAGGGGACGCATCACATGCGATGCACACAGGAAGAGATTCGTTGAAATGTGCAAGTACACTGTTAGAAGTGAGCAAGGCCTTGACTTTGTTAAAGCAAGCCTCATGTGTTTGTGACCACTGCCACACTGCTTGTTTGTCTAGTAGCCTGTGAAGAGGCTCAGCTACACTAGCTTTATGTGGAAGAAAAGAATTGTAGAAATTCAGGAGGCCCAGGAAGGCCTGAAGTTCGGCCTTAGACTTTGGCCTAGGTGCTTCTAAAATAGCTGTTAGTTTGGATTCAGCAGGGTGAATCCCAGCAGCATCAATTTTGAACCCCAGAAATTCAGTAGAAGGCACCCCAATCTTGCATTTGTCTCTTTTGAGCTTGAGGCCTGTTTTCCTGAATCTTAACAGAACAGCCCTTAGCCTTTCAGCTAGAATGTGTGTGGAGTCTCCTGCAATTAAGACATCATCAAAGTAGGGGCAAACCCCCGGTATGCCCCGTAGTGTGTTTTCCATTACGCTTTGGAAAATCCCAGGAGCGACATTCACTCCAAACTGTAGCCTTTTTACCTTAAAGGCTCCCCTGTGGGTCACAATAGTCTGAGCTATAGCAGCATCATCATCAACAGGCAGCTGTTGATACGCTTGAGCTAGGTCAAGCTTTGCAAAAACGCGCCCCCCCTTGAGGGAGGCCAGAATATGACTGACCACAGGAACAGGATAGGCATGTTGCTGCAATGCCTTATTAAGAGTGCATTTGTAATCAGCACAAATGCAAATGTCCCCATTTGCCTTTAGAGGCGTGACAATGGGGGTCTCCCAAGGACTGGAATCAACAGGTTCTAGAATTCCCTGTTGGATCAGTTTGTCTAACTCAGTGTCAATTTTACTCTTTAAAGCAAAAGGGACCCTTCTTGCTTTAATTCTAATGGGAGTGACAGTGGGGTCTAGCTTTAAGGACACAGGGGGTCCTTTGAATGTGCCCAGCTGGGGGCTGAAAACATCTGCAAATTCTTTGCAGACTTCCTGTAGGTCGAGTGTTTGTAAGCTGTTGAGTCCTGTGACGTGTATCCCCAGGGCCTCAAACCAATCGAGTCCTATGAGACTCGTTCGTTCACCCCCTACTACTAATAAGTCTAGTGGACCTTCAAAACTCTTGTATTGCACGTTAAGGGTGGCCTCCCCCTTAACACACACTCTTGAATTTTGAAAATCTGTTAACACAATGTCAGAAGGCCTTAACTTGGCCTGAGTTCCACTACCGGAACAAATCTTCCTAAATGTATGCAAGGAGATGATTGAAAGGGCAGACCCTGTGTCTAGTTCCATAGATAATGGAACCCCTTGTAGCTTCACCTTGAGTGACAGCTTTTTCTTGATGGGCTTGTGTGTGCCTGTCCTGAAGATGCTTCTTCGCGAAGCGCAAAAACCTACCCTATTCTGGCTGGGGACCCTGGTACCTTTCAGGCGCAGTTCTTCCTGAGGTTGTACCTTTCGTCGGCCCAGACACACAGCTGCAATGTGTCCTTGTTTGCCGCATGCCCGGCAGGTAGCGGAGCGGAACTTGCAGTCGGTTCTCCTGTGGCGACCTCCACAGCCGATGCACTTGAGTGGAGCTGAAGAGCTTCCCTTCTGATTTCCTTCCTTCGTGGGGTGGAGACGGTCGACTTCCTCGTCCGGATCCTCCTCGGAGTTTCTTTGGACGTCTTCCTGGTGCACGGATGCAACCTCTGGACTGTTTCTGATCGGCCGCATGTTCTTGACAGCGCCGCCTGCTGCTTCTTCTGCGGTGACTTCCCTTAAGGCATCTTGGTAGGACAATTCTTCTTTAGCGAAAAGTCTTGTTGTAGATCTCGATGCCTTAACCCGCACACGAATCGGTCCCTCAGTCGTTCTTCGAGGTCTTTGAACTCGCAGTGCTTGGCGGCCTTCCGTAATGCGGCGATGAATTCTTTGGCCGACTCACCGGGCCATTGATCCCTCTGCTCGAAGGTGTGGCGCCATGCGATGACGGACATCTTGGGGTGGAAGTGCTCCTTCAGTAGCTTCTTCAGATCTGCGTAGCTGACAGACTCTACTGGAACAGGTGCTGCAAGGTTTTCTGCGATGTCGAAGGCGTCTTGACCGCAAACACAAAGCAGGGTGGCAGCCTTCAAGCTCTCTTCCCTCACTTGGTTTGCCTTGAAGTAGTTCTCCACCCTGGCTACGTATGACTCCCACCGCTCTGGATGTGAGACGTCGAATTCCGAAAGCCTTCCGATTTTCGCCATCTTCAGAAGACGGGTCTATCAGCCAGCCTACCCCCGAATGCGCACTGGATTGGCGGGTAGCTGCCGAGTCGACGCCATTCCGCCGCTCAGGACTCACTTGGGTAAGCTTACACTTCTTCCTTTCCAGGCGGTGTAAGGCATCCCATCCTCGTCGCCAGTGTTGAGTCCTTGGCGGGAAGCAGACACGAGAAGCAGTTGAAGTTCTCAGTTTCCTTTATTCAGCGTTCAGCTTACAAGTAGATGGCTTCTGCAGCTCCCAAAACCTCCCAGCTTCTTATATAAACGCTTCCCGGGTAAATGTGATACTTTTCCCGCGCCAGCACCCGCGCATGCGCACGGCGCTGGCGACAGCCTGTCTGGTCCCGGGCAGCTTTGCACCTGCCCGGGACTGCCTGCAAACGCCCGAGCCGTTTGCAAGGCTCGGGACATAACAACATTCTTCATAATTTGCTTAAATCCCCTGATTTTGCATTTTGACTTATGTGCTAGTAAAATGCTACCCAGTAAGACTGGAAGAAATATCCCATCCAACAGTAAGTCCTATTGAATACAGTTAGTCTTACTTCTTAGGAAATAAGTATGTAGATCAATAGCATATTTCATTTAGACCTCAATTCCATGGTGAGGATATCAGGACTGCCATTGAGCCTCTCTCTTGCTGTGTATCAGTGATACAATGATGGCTTTTGAGAAACCTTTTCATGAAAGCTTAAACAATTTTTAGCATCTAATCCTATGCACGCAAACATTATAAACTGATCTTTTTTTAGGCAATTGTGATTTTTAATATATATATATATATATATATATTATCTCTTTCAGGGCCAGTTGAATGGATTCCTAGATATTTTGCAACAAAGATCTTTGAAAATTGAAGAATGTGTCAGTGAAATAGAAGCTTTGTTTAATACTCTAGAGGTAGGTTGAGCAAAGAACCCGTGAATGGATACCATCATCTCAGTTTAGCACAGAGCTCACTAGATTGCTTAGTCATTCTGCTGGTAAGGGCTTGCTTTTACCATGCCTCACAATGCAGGGCTCAGATAGCCCTTCAGGCCATCTTATGGTTTGCTTATTTGTGGCTGTTATGTGCTCCTGGCTATTTTCCTTGGTGACCAGAGGCAAGCTCACCTGACCAATAACCAGCCAAGACCCAATGAGGGCCTTTTGTTTCATTTATTGCAATAAGTGGGGAGATAAGTTTTCAAAGCTTGGTTCTCTCCAAAGTTTCAACCCAAAATATTCCCTTCTTTATACAACCCTGTCCTGGCTGCCACATCCCTCCTTTTCCCCACTGGCTGAGGTACTATGAGGTTACACTCTTTCCCACCGCCTCCTACATATTTCCTGCTACATACTAAATCATATATCACATGTACATTAAAATTAGGAGATAATTTATGCAAGGTGTGTCAGTTAATATTAATCAACTAATTGTACATGCTCAGTTGTCTGAATTCTGGGCCCCCCTTTTTTATGACTTCTTAAAAAAAAATAGGTTCTTACCTGTTTTCTCATTCAGTGAATTTTCCATGGCTAACCCTTTCCTCTTACAATGGCTTTTATAGCTTGTATTCTTCCTTTCCCACTCTAAGACCCAGCTAATTTTTGCCTACGTGTTTATCTTACATCCTCCCTTTATGCTGTCCTTTTCTATTTCTCATCATTATAGTTGCTTTGGTAAGCTTGTTTCTCCACTCAGTAAGTTTCCACTGCAGCAAATTCAATTTTAAATTTCTCTTTCAATATTAAATTTTGAAGACCATTCATTTATTCCTATCAGTGGCTTACCAGACTGTATGAACTATCCAAAATTTTGTTATGTACCTCACATATTGGGCAATATCTCTTCCTTGTTGGTTAAACATAGTCCATGTTTTATATATCACAATGTAAAAAGGATTCAGATTACTTGGGATGATTCAAAACAAAGAGTTCAGAATACTGTAAATGAATAAATGTCTTATAAAGAGAGAGGGAATTACATTATTGTATTCCTTGAGAAAAAGATTGATAGTGGACTGTGGGAAGAAATTACGATTATATTTCCTGGATTAGTACAACATACTAAGTCATAGTATAGTATGTTTGCCTTGGGTTTTTAGACTGTTGTGTGAACCGAGGCATTCTGATTTCCATACTTATTTATTAGATTTTAATACTATTGTAATCATATGCTTGGAAGTGATTTGTTTTAGCTATATGTGTGAAACTGTTCTTCACTGGACATATATTTCTATTAATAATTTTGATTATAACAATAAAATCTAATACAAACTAAACTTAAAAAAGAAAAGAGAATAAAAATAAAAAATAAAAGTGACTTCCATCTTATATCATAATAAGTGTAAACAAATTTTGTGACATCACATCTCCCCTAAGGTTACAAACAATTATCTCTTCATCCCAAGATGTAATAGCAGATTTTGTTTTAACCTGACTAATTAGACTGATTTTATATACCTTTCTTTTTACATCTAATAGTTGTTAGGTCACTTAAATATTATCATAGTATTTGATTTCTCTTCTTTGTCTCATTGCACAGAGTTCTTCAAGGCTTCAACAAGCTCCTTTTATAAATCCAATAGGAAAAAATTGTCTTGGTTAATCATATTAACCAATTTATTTTGTAGCTCCAATGAAACTTCTTTTCCGAGTAATTCTTTTGGCCTGCCAATTGTAAATTTACTTTGATATCAACTCTATTTTGTCAGAAAAGAATTGTTCTACATCTGTCCTTTCTTCAATAAATCTTTTAGACATAATATGAAGCCCTTCTTCAGATGTCTAAAAAGCTGTCATGTAGAAGAAAACCATAATTTCTATCATGTGGAAGTGCAACATACAAGTGTGTCCCTAGGTTATGGTCATAAAAGACAATAAGGTCATAAAAGACAAAATGGTGGTTGTGCTAGTGTGAGCAGAGCACAGCCTGTTTTTTAGTATAACATACATAAAAAACAGACATAGCTCTGATTACACCATTATGGATGGCATCTTACTTTTTTGACCACATCTAGTAAGTCTCTCCTCATAAGATGCAATATAATGGTCTTTTTGACTGTAAGAACCCATTGACAATACAGCCAAATGCCCAAGTTAAATTGTGAAGGCTTGCTTTTGTTGAATATGCTCAATAGTGGTTTATTATTTTGAAGAATTTTACCTGGAAAAGTAGCTTAGAAGTCTCATCTCCTAAAGGGGAAATATTTACAAAGAAATTTCATTTAATGTTTCATGCTGGAATATTATGTTTTCTTCTGACCTCTATTCCTAGGACAACTGTAAGGAAAAGGAGAAGTTATTAGGAGAGCAAAATGAAAATGTGGTAAAGATGGTAATTGGTCACCATGAGAGAAAGTTACAGAATTTTGAAGAAACAAAGAATACAAAAATGGAATATCTTTATGAACAGATGGTTAATTTTCAAGACTATATCGATACAGCAAAGGAGACACTAGAAATGATAATAAAAGAAACTGAAGATATTGATGATTTTGCTTTCCTAAAGGTAAGTAGTGCAAAGCTATATTACAGTGATGGCGAATCTATGGCACATGTGCCAGAGGTGGCACTCAGAGCCCTTTCTGTGGGCACGTGCGCCATGCCCCAGAGATGGCAACTATTCCTCTTCAACCAGCCGCCTGCTAACTCACCGAGGTCCCACGTGGCTGGATGCAATCCGGCACAGCTGGTTCTACCATGACCACAGCCACACCCATCCAGTGGGCCACGCGCACCTGGCATCCGTCGATAAATAAGTGGGTTTTGGGTTGCAGTTTGGGCACTCGGTCTCTAAAAGGTTCGCCATCACTGCTATATTATCTTCCCAAAGTTTGGGATCATGGAAAAAAAATAAGTCTACGATTGATATTTTTTGCTACATAGCTCTTCATGAAAGCAGATTGGCCATTATTTATTTATTAATCAGCAGGCTCATGATTGGGATAGAACTTTGAGGTTTCAATTCTATACATTAAATAAGGAATTAGTTCCACTGAAGTCATTGGTGCTTAATTTTGAAATAATATTCATTGGATTTTTGCAATCCAAATACATCAAATTAAGAAAAGCTTGTTACACAGTCTCCATCTCTATAGTATTCTCCTGAGTTTCTTTTATGTTGTACTTGCATATTTCCTAAAAGCACTGGTGGGACTATCCTGGGCTTGATTTCCATATCCATAAAGGGCAGACACTTTCAAAGTGCTGCAGGGAGACTGAAAGTCCCTATTTTTATTTTACTGTAACTTGATATACATCAAGTTACAGGAGGTTGAACAACTGGCTCTGAAGTGCAGCTGTAACAATCTGGAGTGGAACACACTTAAAACTATAGAGATGAGAGTGGATTTTAGGAGGAGTCCTCCTATTCTACCAATTCTTACTATATTAAACAACATAGTATCAACAGTAGACTCCTTCAAGTTTGTAGGTTCTATAATCTCCCAGGATTTCTAAAGGATATCTAACATCAGAATTATCATTAAAAAAGCATAACAAAGAATGTTCTTCCTGCATCAATTCAGTTCAGACTGCCTCAGGAGCTGTTGATACAGAGGAATTATTGAGTCTGTCATTTATACTTCTAACTGTCTGGTTTGGTACAGACTTCAACGAATAGTTAGGATTTCAGAAAAAAACAATTGCTACCAGCCTGCCTTCCCTTGAGGATCTGTACATTGCCCTGGTCAGAAAGAGGGCTGAGAAAATATCTACAGACTCCTCACATCCTGGACATAAACTGTTTCATATCCTTATGTCAGGATACCGCTACAGGGCATTACATGCCAAAACAACCAGACAGAGACAGTTTTTTCCCTTGCGCCATCACTCTGATGAACACCTAATCCCCACAGCACAGTGTTATGTCTAAGTATATTTACCCATATAGTATGGCTATATTGCTATTATCCTTCTCATCTTTTCTACTGCCTTCTCTTATTGGTATCATTATTATGATTATTATTACTTATTGTTTTGTATATACACTGAGAGCTTCTACATCGGAGACAAATTCTTTGTATGTCTAATCACATTTGGCCAAATAAAGTTTTCTATTCTATTCTATTCTATTCTATTCTATTCTATTCTATTCTATTCTATTCTATTCTATTCTATTCTATTCTATTCTCTGCAAAAATTCAAACAACCACCAATGACAACAAATTATTTTGTTCATTGTTGCCATTCAAGCAGCAAGCTTGTTTTGCAGGCAAAGAAGGATTTGATTTTTCCAATTTGACACTTAGCTACAACTAAAACAAAAAAACCAACAAAAACACGCTAAACTAAAGTAAAACTAAAGTGCAGTATGGGCTAGTGGTTAAGGCACCAATCTAGAAACCAGGAGACTGAGTTTTAAAGCCAGCAGGTGACTTTAGGTCAATCACTCTCTTTCAGCCCAACTTACTTCACTGGGTTGTGAAGTGACTATTTGCTGTTTTCAGTTATTTATAAAAATAATAAAGGTGGGATAAAAAAGAATCTTAAAAAAACAACACATCCAGTTTCCCCAGTCACCGATGTAGTCCAAAATAATTGGAAATCATCAGTTTGAAACATGATCCAGATCCATGCTCTTGTACTATATAATAAAAAGTAAAATAAAATAAAAGTCTGAAGGATGTGTCAATGGAATCTTCTTAATATAAAATACTCTAACTTAAGTTTGCCAAGGCTCAACTGCTGCTAGTAATGATGATTTAATTCAGGTTCCTATATGAATTACCAAGATACTGTTTCTCCTTCAACTTTGCAAATTTGGAGGTCAGAATTTGGTACAAATATACAGAATTTCTAAAAAATGGGAAATCCTGCTCTGATACATGTGGAACATGTCAGTAAACAAAATCTTGCATGTTTTATATTCAGTATGTTGAATAACATGAATCAATTAATCCCTTCCTTCCCTCTTTTAGTCATCTGAAGAAATAAATAAAAGGTATTTGAAATGTAGCTTTGATGCATTGTGGAGAGAATTAGGATGAGCATGTTTTAATACTTTAATCCTGTCAAGGTCTGTTGGAGGCATGTTGCCAGTATAAATATCTCATTTTAGAAATGTCTAGATGAAACAAAGAAAATGGTGTGCTTGGCAGTGATACTCCAGAGTTGGAAATATTCTGCATAAATTGTATAACTTGTCTTTTAAATACTAATAAGTAAGGCATGATACAATTCCATTTCTTTTTCAATAGTATATGCAGAGCATTTCAAAGTGGGCATTTATTGAGGTTATATAAAACCTATTTTAAAATTCCTGTTGCGTTCTGCAAAATGACAATATTCATGAGTGCTCAGGTTTTGTTGATTTAATTACCGTATTAGATGAAATGTTACTGAAGATGATCCTGAATGCTAGTTTGGTAAAATAATTAAATTTTGACCGGTGAAAACTCCAGCTCCAATTAAGTATGAATTTGTCCTGTTATTTCTAATTCCTATACCAAAATAATTAGTTATAAGTAATACATTGCTTAAGGGTATTTTCACAAGGACTCTCCCAACAATAAATGTTAATCAAAGGACTATTTTATATCCTTTTCCAAAGATCTGGGAAACCATACGTTTTCTAGAAAACTGAAAGATAATCTGAAAATGCCAAAATTGTTCCTGCTATAGTTGTGAATTCCTTAGATCTATTGCTGCTTTTCAGCCAAGAAAACTTGCAGACTTTTGAAACTTAAACAAAGTTAAAAAAAACCACTTCAATAACTCAGATAGGGTAGTGGGGTGGAGGGGGAGAAGAGAGAAAGAGAAAATATATCCCTCCCCTACAGTGATTTAAAAGAATTGTTCCATTGATTCTGTTGGAAATGAATTTGGATGTTCTGCTCACAGTAGATTTCATAGTTCAACAAACTCTATTAGTATTCATCTTTCTCCTATAAAAGGTTTCTGGAAAAAAAAAGGGATCGTACTGAATATTGCATGCAACCATCAGGCAATGTGTTTTTAAAAAGAAGTTTTAAAATAGTGAAATTTGCATTTGAAAAGAGAGCATCAAATAGATTTAAATGGCAAAGAACACTTAACACTGAGTATGTAAGGTCTTGGCCAACATACATTAAGAATGACATAAATTAGGGAAATACATTCTCCTTATGTTAGAAGATATTACCCTTGTTATGAAATTGCCTGTACTCTTTTTAAAATATGTGGATAAATACAGAAATATTTTTCTATTAATATAAATAGTAAAAGGGGCAGATTTTGTAGTAATCTGCCCATATTTAATAGACAGCAAGTATCCTTTTGCACTTCAAAGATTTTATTATACGTTCTCAGCACTGTTTCCCATTTTGTTCTAAGCCATAATATGGTCTCTGTGTGTATGTGTGCGTGCGCACGCGCATGCATACACACACACACATACAGTACATATACATGTACATGTATGTACATATACATATACATATACATATAATGTAGCAACATAAGAATTGTGATATGTAAATTTTCCTTTGCACCTTAGCATTAATTGTGATCCATACTGCTATTGCTGGTTTGACAAGCTGTGATTGAAACAAATTGTATCTTGGAGGAGCATGTGTGAATTCAGCTACAAAGGAGAGGCTTTGTATGAGGATCTAAATATGAAAAAGTACACCCAGACAAAGGAGTGCAGGTCACGTATGCTCTCAAAATTCCAGATGTGCTCATTGGCCTAAAATGATTTGGGGATGCCTGCAAAAAGCTATATAATCTACTTCAGTTATGAATTTCTCATTGATGAAAGTACCCACATTAAATCCTAGTTGAGAACATCTTCAAGATCCAGTGGAACTTAAGCCAGTATTTCTCAATGTTGGCAACTTTAAGATGTGTGGACTTCAACTACCAGACTTCCCCAGCATTCTGGCTTAAGAGTACCATATGTGCAGCACTGGCTTTGTCTCACAATTTATACATATACATATAATGTATATGTATACATTCCAATCCATTTGCACCTGACCTTGCAAATAGCATAGCAACCGTCTCAGCCTTACTGTATCCAGAATAAAGGCATAATGGCAGAGAGATATCTTTGGCCCCTCTGTGTATGTATATGTTTGTGTAAAAACTTCACTGTAACTTTCCTCTTCAGCCTTTATTTGTCTACATAAAATGCAAATTCTTTACTGTTTATGGTTGACCTATTTCAAGAATAATTCTTTGCTTTTAAATCAGTGGTTTTCAACCTGTGGATCGGGACCCCATTTGGGGTCGAACGACCATTTTACGGGGGTCGCCAAACAACGCAGTCCGCCATTTTTTCCCCCTTTTCCTTTGCTGTGCTACTCCCTTTTATTCTATTGGCTTTTGAAAGCCAATAGAATAGACTCTCTTGAATAATTGTCCAGGCTGTCTCTGCCCTGCTGAGCCCGCCAAAAGTCCCATTCTGCAAACGGTGCTGCACCAGTTGAGTAGTCCTCGACTTACGACCGGTTGAGTAGTCCTCGACGTACGACCGGTTGGGAGTCACGGCATTAAAAAGGTTGAGAACCACTGTTTTAAATGATGATACACCACTATTTTGCATAAATAGGCCCTCTTATACTTGTCTTAGAGTTAAAAAAATGTTTCCCTTTTTTCTCTTTGTAAATGTAGCGGGGCTGTCTGAGAATGTTTGCAGGAGCTCGGTTGGGAAGGGAGAAATTGACAAAGCTGCTGCTGGCTTTGGGTGTGGACGGAAGAAAAAGATAGAAAAGGGAAGGAAAGGAAAATAGACAGTGTTGTACGCTTCGTTCGCATGCGAATGATGAAGACACATGGAGATGCTGAACAAACACTTTATTCTCCTTCTACAACAACCAAGCAAAAGCAAAAGGCTCGCAGGCCTTTTTATATGGCCAGAAGCCCGGACAGTGTCAACCAATAGGAACAGAGTGTTTTCGCGCCTTGCGCATGTGCACAAGGCTGGCGCCGCTCTGTCTGGTCCCGGGCAGCTTTTGGAATGCCCGGGACCAATGGAACGTCCCGAGCCTGCTTTTGCAGGCTCAGGATACAACAGACAGTGTGGCTGTTGCAGTTCGTCAGGTGAAGGTAAAGAGGGAGTGGAAGTTTTATTTGCTTTTCTTCATAAGGAGGATATTTTAAACGGAGGCTAGAAAGAGGGGGAATGGAATTTTATTGCTTTCCTTCATAAGGAGGGTATCTCAAACAGAGGAAAGAGAGAGAGTGGAATTTTATTGCTTCCTTCATAAGGAGGATATCTCAAATGGAGGCAAGGGGAGTGTGTAGAAAGGAGTTGGCTGAAGCTCCTAGCCTCGGATTTTAACAATAAAGATAAAGGGGGGAGGGAGGGAGGGCTTTGACACTGAGACCTGACTGAGAAGAAGCAACAGAAGGAGAGGAGAGACTGGTGGTGGCTACTGTTGCTGCGAAGCCTGGAGGCTATTTGTACTGTGACTATTGTTGCAGGTACAAGTTTTAGATTTTGTGGGGGAGTTGCCCTGGGGGGGTCAAGCTATTGCTATAGCACACTGACTGTTGTTGTTTCTACTACTGCCTGGAGCTGGGGATTTTCCTCCATCCCACTTGACTCTGAACAACCGCTGAGGAATCCTTAATTACTGCTGCTATAACAGCCTTGGGCTGTTGGATATCATCATAGCATTGACTATCGGGGCTGGTTACTTTCATTCCTGGAAGCCCCTCCTTGATGACAAGAGCCTGCTACCTCCTAACTCTGCATGAGCTCCGGCTGGAAGAGACATCTTACCAACCCCTAGAGAACACCACTACAGGGCTTGACAAGGGGGGACGGGGCTGGGAGGGCCTAGGTTTCTGGCGGCCTCTGAGGAGGTAACGCTACATAAATAAGAGTTAATAGCTTCCAATTCTGTTTGCTTTTGTTTCTACCTCCTTTTCTGAGATGAGCTCCATGCTGCTAGCTCAGTGGTTCTCAATCTGTGGGTCGGGACCCCATTTGGGGTCGAACCACCATTTCATGGGGGTCGCCAAACAATGCAGTCCACCATTTTCCCCCCCTTTTCCTTAGCTGTGCTACTCCCTTTTATTCTATTGGCTTTTGAAAGCCAATAGAATAGACTCTCTTAAATAGAGTCTAATTCTATTGGCTTTCAAATGCCAATAGGAATTGTCCAGGCTGTCTCTGCCCTGCTGAGCCTGCCAAAAGTCCCATTCTGCAAACAGTGCTGCACCAGTTGAGTAGTTCTCGACTTCTACGACTGGTTGGGGGTCACTGCATTAAAAAGGTTGAGAACCACTGTGCTAGCTCCTTTATGTGGCAACTATGGCATCAGTTAAATTTCCTCGCTCAACCTATTTTCTGTTATATTTACAAATATTTCAAAGGACAGTTTTTATTCCTTCAAACTCTGTACTTTTCATTATGTGTGTTTTAACCTTAACATCTTTATACTTCAGAACTGGGCACTAAGTCAAATCACTAGTCCCTCCCTTTCAAAGAAGGTTTTGGGAATATATAGCTGTTTTACATGTCTGCATTCACCTGTGCTTTTACTGCCTATAGTTTAGGTGGGAGAGTAGCCATAAATGCTGTAGAAAAAGGTGAGGGTTGTAGATAAAAAGTACAACAATGATAAGGTAAATGTTACATGTCCTCTTTTGATACCTGAAAATGTCTAAGGCCTTTTCCAGATATTCTTGGATTTCAGCTCCCAGAATTCGCCGGATAATATAATATAGCTATATATTATATATATTTATAGCTATACAGTTAATTGTATAACTATGTACAGTTATTTAAACTTAATTACTGAAATAGCCAAGTTGGATGGATTAAAACCAACTATCCACAATTTAGACTAGTGCATTGTAGAAATACAGGAACATTGATGGGAATGAAGGAGAGAGATGATTCCTTGAGGTATTCTAAATTTAATCTGACTCATTCTTTTCAAAAGCATACTCAGAATTGTTTTAACTATTAGTTGAAATATACAGTGTAAAGCCAAATTATTATTTGCTAGACAAAGCAGCAACTTCTGATATATTATGGTTAGGTAGTGGTCTCTGTTGTGCGATGGCTCAGTGGCTAAAGATGCTGAATTTATCAGCTGGAAAGCTAACAGCCTGGGTTCGAGAGCCAAGCACCACATCAAGAGAAGATCTCCTGTTAGTTACCCCAGCTCCTGCCAACCTAGCAATTCAAAAGCAAGGCCTCTGCCACATCATAAATGTAAGTAGATAAATAGGTACCACTATGGTGGGAAGGTAACAGTGTTCCATGAGCTTCAGCATATAATCATGCTGGCCACACGACCACAGAAATGTCAATGCTAGCTCACTCAGCTAAGAAACGGATATGAGCACCATCCCCTTAGAGTCAGGCTCGAGTGGACAGGGGAAACTTTTACCTTTACCTTCTAAACCAAGATCTCATTTGAATATTTGAGCAAGTAAGGAATTTGGTACATACATTATTCTAGGCCATAATATGGTTTGTTTTTTGGCTTGGTATGTTATGTGAACTAAGCCATTATTTGTTGGTTAAAAATATGGTTTAAAAATCTTATCATACCCTGCATGCTGGCTTGGAAATTGAAGTCCATACATCTTAAAATTGCTAAGATTGAGAAACACTGTTTTAAATGGAGAAAATATATCTTAAAAAAAAACTAAACCATGATTTGGATAAATCTGCTTTGATATTGTATATGACATGCATTAAATCTCAAGGCCTCTTTGAGATCTCATCTCTCCTTTGTTGCTGGGCTGGAGATTTCTTTTCTGCTCTGCCATGTGTTATTCTTAAGAGTGCCAGCATCAGGTAATAAATGGAGTGCTATTTACTAGTGAGTGGTATAAATGGCTAATTAAGCAGTGTTTGGACTGATGACTCACAGCTTGTACAGGCCTGATCTAGGAAATTGTAGGTCTTATTAGCTGGATATTCTTAGAATGCTTCTAAAAAGGTGTATATATTTTCACTTATATAGGTTACTTTCTGCTGTGGAAAATATTGTGGCTTTGGAAAAGATGCCTGCTGCTTTCTCACAGTTTGAACCATGTGCGAGTGGCTTTACAAATAGTGACAGGACTTTACAACTCATGCCTGGTAAGAAGTCCTTCAAACCATTCCATGAGAGTGTTAAGAATGTATCAATGCCTTAAAAAGGAATGTGTTGGAAAAGGAAATTTGGAATTGGAAGCTTGTGCATGTAATTAGTAATCAGTTGAGTTTGAAGCAAAGGCTGATTGTGCCTAAGTATTTAGATTATGCTGGGGAAGAAAGCTGGAGAAAGAACAGCATGCTCTTTATTCATATTAAGAAGGGGAGCTGGATCACTCTTTGTATAATGGACTCCATGTGAATAAAGATGCATTAGAAGAAAAGACCAAATTCACTTGTATTCCTTCCAATTTGCTTCAAAATTGATATGCAAAAGAACATGAGGAGGAAGGCATTTTCAAGGTGGGAGAAGGTGGCTGCCAGGAAGGAACAGACTAAACCTTCCCCCTCTGATGCTACTGCCCCTCTTTCAATAGAACCATGTCTAGTCTATTTGATATTTCATTTAACAAAATTTAATTTTTACTACCAGTTAAGTTTTGTTATTTCATTTAACAAACAATTTTTACAAAAAGAAATATAAATTGACATGCAAGAGATATTTTCAAAAAGTTGAAAACTGTATTTGTAAATACGTGTACAGTCCAGGAATAGGCAATCAGTGGCCCTTCAGATGTTATTAAACTAGAACTCCCATACAACTCTCCAGAGGTTGTGAATGCTCCAACACTGGAAATTTTTAAGAAGAGACTGGACAACCATTTGTCTGAAATGGTATAGGGTTTCCTGCCTGAGCAGGGGATTGGACTAGAAAACCTCCAAGGTTCCTTCAAACTATACTACTACTAGTAGTACTATTATTATTATTACTGTTATGTCCCGAGCCTTGCAAACGGCTCGGGCGTTTGCAGGCAGTCCCGGGCAGGTGCAAAGCTGCCCGGGACCAGACAGGCTGTCGCCAGCGCCGTGCGCATGCGCGGGTGCTGGCGTGGGAAAAGTAACCCATTTACCCGGGAGTTGCCTATATAAGAGGCTGCGAGGCGTTTGGGCGAGGCTGAAGCCATCTTCCTGTAAGCTGAACGCTGAATAAAAGAAACTGAGAACTCCAGCTGCTTCTCGTGTCTGTTTTCCCGCCACGGACTCAACACTGGCGACGAAGGTGGGATGCCTTGCACTACCTGGAAAGGAAGAAGTGTAAGCTTACCCAAGGAGTCCTGAGCGGCGAAAGAGGAACGGCGTCGACTCGGCAGCTGCCCGCCAATCCGGTGCGCATTCGGGGGTAGGCTGGCTGATAGACCCGTCTCCTGAAGATCCGAAGATGGCGAAAATCGGAAGGCTTTCGGAATTCGACGTCTCACATCCAGAGCGGTGGGAGTCCTACGTATCCAGAATGGAGAACTACTTCAAGGCAAACCAAGTGAGGGAAGATAGCTTGAAGGCGGCCACCCTGCTTTGCGTTTGCGGCCAAGACGCCTTCGAAATCGCAGAAAACCTTGCAGCACCTGTCCCAGTAGAGTCTGTAAGCTACGCAGACCTGAAGAAGCTGCTGAAGGAGCACTTCCACCCCAAGGTGTCCGTTATCTCATGGCGCCACACCTTCGAACAAAGGGATCAACGGTCCGGTGAGTCAGCCAAGGAATACATCGCCGCGTTACGGAAGGCCGCCAAGCCCTGCGAGTTCAAGGACCTCGAGGAACGACTGAGGGACCGATTCGTGTGCGGGTTAAGGCATCGCGAGCTACAACAGAGACTTTTCGCAAAGGAAGAATTATCCTTCCAAGACGCCTTAAGGGAAGTCACCGCAGAAGAAGCAGCAGGCGGCGCCGTCAAAAACATGCGGCCGATCAGAAACAGTGCAGAGGGTGCGTCCGTGCACCAGGAAGACGTCCGACGAAACTCCGAGGAGGATCCGGACGAGGAAGTCGACCGTCTACACCCCGCGAAGGAAGAGAACCAGAAGGGAAGCTCTTCGGCTCCGCTCAAGTGCATCGGCTGTGGAGGTCGCCACAGGAGAACCGACTGCAAGTTCCGCTCCGCTACCTGCCGGGCATGCGGTAAACAAGGGCACATTGCAGCTGTGTGCCTGGGCCGACGAAAGGCACAACCCCAAGAAGAACGCCTGAAGGGTACCAGATTCCCCAGCCAGAATAGGGTAGGTTTTTGCGCTTCGCGAAGAAGCATCTGTAGAACAGGCACACACAAGCCCATGAAGAAAAAGCTGTCACTCAACGTGAAGCTACAAGGGGTTCCATTATCTATGGAACTAGACACAGGGTCTGCCCTGTCCATCATTTCATTGCATACATTTAGGAAGATTTGTTCCAGAAGTGGGTCTAAGGCCAAGTTAAGGCCTTCTGATATTGTATTAACAGATTTTCAGAACTCAAGAGTGTGTGTTAAGGGGGAGGCCACCCTTAACGTGCAATACAAGAGTTTTGAAGGTCCACTAGACTTATTAGTAGTAGGGGGTGAACGAACGAGTCTCATAGGACTCGATTGGTTTGAGGCCCTGGGGATACACGTCACAGGACTCAATAGCTTACAAACACTCGACCTACAGGAAGTCTGCACAGAATTTGCAGATGTTTTCAGCCCCCAGCTGGGCACATTCAAAGGACCACCTGTGTCCTTAAAGCTAGACCCCACTGTCACTCCCATTAGGATTAAAGCAAGAAGGGTCCCTTTTGCTTTAAAAAGTAAGATTGACACTGAACTAGACAAACTAATCCAACAGGGAATCCTAGAACCTGTTGATTCCAGCCCGTGGGAGACCCCCATTGTCACGCCTCTAAAGGCAAATGGGGACATTCGCATTTGTGCTGATTACAAATGCACACTCAATAAGGCATTGCAGCAACATGCCTATCCTGTTCCTGTGGTCAGTCACATCCTGGCCTCTCTCAAGGGGGGGCGTGTTTTTGCAAAGCTTGACCTAGCTCAAGCATATCAACAGCTGCCTGTTGATGATGATGCTGCCATAGCTCAGACCATTGTGACCCACAGGGGAGCCTTTAAAGTAAAAAGGCTACAGTTTGGAGTGAATGTCGCTCCTGGGATTTTCCAAAGCGTTATGGAAAACACACTACGAGGTATACCAGGGGTCTGCCCCTACTTTGACGATGTCTTGATTGCAGGAGACTCCACACACATTCTAGCTGAAAGGCTTAGGGCTGTCCTGTTAAGATTCAGGAAATCAGGCCTCAAGCTCAGAAAAGACAAATGCCAGATTGGGGTGCCTTCTACTGAATTTCTGGGATTCAAAATTGATGCTGCTGGGATTCATCCTGCTGAATCCAAACTAACTGCTATTTTAGATGCACCCAGGCCAAAGTCTAAGGCCGAACTTCAGGCCTTTCTAGGCCTCCTGAATTTCTACAATTCTTTTCTTCCACATAAAGCTAGTGTAGCTGAGCCTCTTCACAGGCTACTAGACAAACAGGCTGTGTGGCTGTGGTCACAAGCGCATGAGGCTTGCTTTAAAGAAGTCAAGGCCTTGCTCACTTCTAACAGTGTTCTTGCACATTTCAACGAGTCTCTCCCTGTGTGCATCGCTTGTGATGCGTCCCCCTACGGGGTTGGAGCTGTCCTGAGTCACCTCAGGTCTGATGGAACTCAGGTTCCTATTGCATACTACTCCAGAACACTGTCTTCTGCCGAGCGCAACTACGCTCAGATAGACAGGGAGGCTCTGGCTGTTGTTGCTGGAATTAAAAAATTCCACGATTTTCTATATGGCAGGCATTTCACGGTCTTCACTGACCATAAGCCTCTGCTGGGACTGTTTACCACACGTAAGCAGACTCCCCACATCATTTCCCCTAGAATGCTTAGGTGGTCTATTTTCTTGTCTGCATATGATTTTTCATTACTCCACAAGCCTGGAAAGAAATGGGCCATGCTGATGGCCTCAGTAGATTGCCTCTGCCAGTAGTAGAAGCTGACCCCGCGCCAGCTGTCAACATTCTATCAATCCAAGCCTTGCCCGAGCTCCCTCTTAGTGCCAGGGATGTTACCGCTGAAACAGGTACAGATCACACACTTTCACGTGTCCGCTCCTGGGTCCTGTCCGGGTGGCCTGAGCACTGCCCTAGTCCTGAGTTTCAGAGTTTCTGGTCCAAAAGAAACGAACTGTCCCTTTCTCAGGGTTGTCTGCTTTGGGGAAACAGAGTTGTCATTCCCACCTCAATGAGGACTAGGGTCTTAGAATCCCTCCACGAGGGTCATCCTGGCATTGTTCGTATGAAGGCTCTTGCACGCAGCCACTTGTGGTGGCCTGCTTTAGATAAAGATATTGAGGCTAAGGTACACGCATGCCACCTGTGCCAACGATCTCGCCCAGAGATGCCCCAAGCTCCTGTGCATAGATGGGAGGAAACACAGTCCCCATGGTCTAGGGTGCACATTGACTACGCTGGGCCCTTTCAGGGCCAGTTCTTCTTGGTCCTTGTTGACAGCCATTCAAAATGGCTTGAGGTTGTGCCTGTCTCATCCACCACCACTGCAAAGACTATTCAGGTACTGAGGGGGATTTTTGCTGCACACGGGCTGCCAGATGTCATTGTGTCCGACAACGGCCCTCAATTCACCTCCTCCGAATTCCAAGCTTTCTTACAGGCAAACCTGATTCGTCATGCCCCGTCTGCGCCTTTTCACCCGTCCACCAACGGTATGGCTGAACGCATGGTGCGCATCGCAAAGGACGCCTTGAAGAGACTCACCTACGGGGACTGGCATCACAGGTTGGCTGACTTTCTCCTTTCTTATCGCACCACACCGTCCACTTCTACAGGGAGAAGTCCAGCTGAACTTCGTTGGGGGCGCCAACTTCCTACTAGACTTGACCGGTTGCATCCGGACAGACTGCCTTCATCTACCTCACATCCTAGGGCACCTAGACAACTACTTGTGGGTGCCCTGGTTTGGGCTCGCAATTACTGGCCTGGTCATACATGGGTCCCCGCTTCTGTGTCCAGGATCACAGGTCCTCTCTCCTACGAGGTTGCCCTGGACAACGGTCGTGTCCTGCGTCGGCACATCGACCAACTTCGCTCTAGCTAGACTTTTCTGCTGAGAACTCTGGGTCTTTTCCGGGGGGGCAGGG